TGTGGAAGAATCGGGCTCCCCAGTGAAGGAGCTCTGGTGTCCAGGTCAAGAGGGCTGACTGAGCTCCAGCGCTTCCTTTCAGGAGCTCTCTGACTTTGGGTAAGTCATTTACCTTAGCCTGATCTTCAAAATGAAGACCATGAAATAGAGTCCAGTGTTTCTCAAAATACATGTTGAATTCAACTGGGAATGTTTTGAGACATGCAGTTCTTCAGATCCCACCTAGATACACAAACTATTCTTTGAGTTGGGGCCAGCTTTTGAGTTTGTCCCAATTCTTAGCCTGGCCTGGGAAACAGTGGACCAGTGAGGCACTCTCCACGGTTCTTATATACACCCAAGTCTGGTTTCATGTGGAGGTCCAAAGCAGTAGCCATACAACCCAAATTGCAGGAGGGATTTTTTTTGTTTAATTGATGATGCATTTTTTTCAATCACAAATCTTAGAAGATTTTAGCTTTATTTACTCTGAATGTATGCTTAGCCACCTGTAACAGAGAAATAGGTGTAGTCTTGCTCAGAAAACTCCTTGGTATTCACATTTCTCTACCATTATCCTTCAACTCCAAACTTTTTCTTACTCAACCTGGGATTGATGTCTCTGACCATGGCCATCCAGCTTCAGGTCCTATAATGTGGCTAAAACTGCTCAGAACTTCTTAATGCCCATAACTGAAGATGTCAGTCTTAAAGGGGATCTGTCTTTAAGCTGGCTGCTCACTTTCTTTGTAGCGTTGAGAATTAAATAATGCTGACTGCTCCTACCATCGTGATAGCACAGTCTTGATTCATAGTTCCCCTTTATTTTTCATTTTTAATTTCTTTTGATAACTCACNGGCACATCTGCCCACTCAACCAACCTCTCCTTAGCAGTAAGAAAATTCTCATAGCACATAATCATTTATGACATAAGAAAAAAGAAGCCGTTACCCTCTTTCTGCAGTCTTCATCCATTTCCCCAGGTCCAAACATTCCATCTAATATGTTTGAAAAGACCTTTCAGTGCTATATCACAGGGGATGTTAAAGCATTTACCTTTTCTGGAACCACACTTTTGCCGTCCCATGCATAACCTCTCTTGGTGAAATAGTTCACGGTGGCAAACTCGATCAGAGCTGAGAACACAAAGGCGTAGCACACGGCGATGAACCAATCCATGGCGGTCGCGTACGCCACCTTAGGGAGGGAATTTCTCGCACTGATACTCAGGGTTGTCATGGTGAGCACAGTTGTCACTCCTGGAAAGAAAGAAATTAAGTGAATTTGTAGATGCAGAATATAAAACTCCATCACAGAAAGTCAGCCCACTTGCACAAAGGGAAACCGGCAGTACCATGGACAGAGTGTGTTTCTGTATTCATCCCATTTGGGTTCGGCATGGATGAGTTTTAATTTAACCCCAGTGTAGTTTGCAGTTCATGGTATGGCAGTGCTGGGGGTGGGGGGTGGGGGGTCTCTTGGAGTGAGAGACTGTTTTGCTATTAAGGAGCTGTTAATAAAACAGTTACTTTAAATGGGCTTCTTGAACATGGTGCCCTGGGTAAACCAGGAAATAATATTCCCTCACTGCCCCGAACTCTTTGAAATAGAAGGCGTAGATCTCCACTGTCTCGATCCTTAAGAAATCTCTGGATCCTCAGCTCTGTTTAATACTCTATCTGTGCGCTAAATGTATAAGCCAGGAAACCTATAGGCGCTTGATAACTGGTAACGGATAGATAATTGAATTATCTGAGGATAATATTGTGTTACATTATTAACACTTCTGCTTTTATACTATTTCCCCCGATTCTGCAATAACTATTCTTTTGAAGAAATTCCTGAAATAAGTTGAATGTAACTTGCATGAGGTTACACATCTCAGAAGTGGCAAAGCCAAAATTTGATTTTGGCTTCTGATTTAAATGTCCACAGTCTCCCCGTTTCTGTTAATGTTGCCTCATCTTCCCTATTCTGTGAATCCGTCTAGTGACTAGAATTACCTGTATTCAAAGCACTTTTTAAGTCAGCTGTTTTTAGTTTATTTAGATAATTATATGAATCGGTATGTAAGTGATTCTAGACATTGATGTTCATTTAACAAATTAATATTATCAACCTACTGTATGTAAGCACTGTACTATAATTAGACTATTGTAAGATCCTTTAAGCCAGCGGTTCTCAACCTGTGGGTCGCGACCCCTTTGGGGGTTGAATGACCCTTTCACAGGGGTCACCGGGTACTCTTATGTGGGCGTATCTGCATGTGGGCCTGAAGACAGAGGAGCAGTGTCTCGGTTCCTAAGATCATCGGAAAATATGTGTTTTCCGATGGTCTTAGGCGACCCCTGTGAAAGGTTGAGAATCGTTGCTTTAAGCCATTTGAAAATGTATAAAACAATTCACAGTGACCCAGTGAGGGTGGCTCGGGATGCGTAGTGTGGAAAAAATCCTGACCTCCCCAGTGACTAGTCCCACCCTCGTCACCCATTGGCTCAATGACCTGAGTAACTGAATGAGCTTCTGGGGACCTTAGTCTTCATATCTGTAAATGGGATAATTTAGACTTCATACTCTTGACTGTCTATATCAGCGGTTCTCAACCTGTGGGTTGCGACCCCCTTGGGGGTC